CTCACACCCTCCCTTACAAAATACGTTTGTGCCGTTTTATACAAAAGAACTTAAACTTATCTCCTTTAACATCTTAACCGAGCTCTATAATAATAATAATAATAATAATAATAATAATAAATAATAATAATAATAATATATACTTCTAAAGACCGCGGTTAAAGTATGATACAGAGTTTGTACAAACGCGTCGCGTACAACTTATCATAACAACGTCGGTTATTAAATGTCTTCCTGCGAGGTTACGCGTACGCCATCCGCGTAATCACACTCTAGGAACATCTCGAGGATCTTGATCGACGTTTCCTCATCGATTTAGAGGCGATTTTCGTCGCGCTGTGAACAAGTTGAGCCGTGTACTTACAATACAGATTCGAGATACATATCGTTGGAGATATACGATTGTTCGTATATAGATATTTTTTGCAATTAATACGTATATAATCGATCGATCGATCGAAAGTACGAAAGTACGTGTGATGGATACGATCGATTTTATTAAAATATTATTATTATTCGATTTCGATCAGAAGAAGTGAATCGAATCGTCACATAAGATGACACGTAATGGAATGAAAATGGGTGACGAGAATCGAATCAAAACGTAATCTTATCGTTAAAAAGTGAAGCTTGAAAGCCGATATATTTTTGTACGACGTGAAAATATATATTATCGAATATTATCCCCGTTACCTGGAACGTGACACATGATAAGGATCGATCGATACCGTGATATCATCATTTTTATCATTATCAAAATTCTAAGATCTGTTCAAATACAAAGAATTGTTTCCAACAATTGTATCCCATTTACGTTACGTGGCCGTATCAATATTTTATACGATCTTCCTCCGATCGATGAGGAAGAGTCGATCGATACATCCGGTTATAGATTATTATACTGAATATCGTTATTGCAATGGCTATACTATTTATTCCTCACGAACAAAACCTCACGACTTTGCAAATCATCGACCACGTATATCTACGTATATCTATTATTCGCATATAATCCTGTGTGTGGTCGGTACAGTATTACATTCTTTGTGCCAACTCTGTATAATACATATACAGAATCGATCCTCTATATATATATACATATTTATGTATAAGTATATATATATATATATACACACACATATATATATATATATATACTTGTAAGTACGAGAAATGCATGACTGGTCGACGTTTAGCTCGCGTTATACTTATATGGCTCTATGTACAAACGATTCTTGCGGTTTTTACTTGTCGCCTGTTGAACGCACAAGTTCAACGTTATTAATTAACGTAACGATCGTTTAATTCGTTATTTATATGATGAAATGACTTGACCCTTTCGCGAAAGCGTGATTATACTTTTTTTTTCCCCTTCTAATTATTCTTATTTTACTTATTTATTTATTTATTTCTTTTACTGTCTTTGGATTTGGCTTCGCTCTAGTCGTCGAATTTGTCCCGTTCAATTTGCGACCATAGAACTTGTATTCGTGGAAGATCACGGGGACGATCGTTCGATCGAGCGGATTCAATGAAATTATTGCCTGTGACTTCCGGTTATTATTCGACCGTTCTCGCGTACGAAGAACACTTATTGCGATATATCTGGATTAATATTTTTACGAAATTTTTACAGATTTCCATTAAGCAAAATTTCTCAGGGATCGGAACAAATGCAATTATCTCGGAGAAAGAATCGAGAGCTGTCTCGAGAACTTAAATAAATTCGTATGTTTTCAAATTGATTGACCCATCTCGTGTATAAAAAAGATAATCCAAGATCGTGTTCTTCGTGCACAATTATTCTCCATATTTCGAATGGTACATCCTCGCGGTATATCGGTATTAATATAAATCGAGTCTCGATGTTTCTTCGATATATTATTTCGCGTCATCGAGACAGGACGAACGTTCAATAATTTCGTCAGCGGTTTCAAAGACGACTCTGCGCGAATATTGCAATTGCGCGTTTTAATTTGTGGCACCGTGAAGAAAGTTTCTTCTTTCTCTGTCCAGTGTGGCTCGAATCGATCAAACGAAGATAATTGATCGTGGAAAATTGATTAAGAAGAAAAATTTTGAAAAGAACTCGTTTCACCGAGTCGAGCCAAGCAATCGAGATTCCAACGATACGTAACGGAGCTCGAGCCACGAGATTTCGGACAGTGAGTGTCATGGTGTCTTTGCCACAAAGTACGTCCCTGACCGCCCTGCTGCCGCCCCCAGGTCACCCTCAACGGACCGCCTCCTGCCCCGTTCAAGCCTGTGTGCTCTTTGCGTTTTTCGAGTCGAGCCGCAGAAAAATTTCTTGCTTGCAGCAGCGTACCTTTGCTCCACGTGCTACGCGGTGTGTGTAGCGAGTGCAGAAAGCGAAAGATGATCTGATTCGCGTGAAAGGAACAGCCTCTCTCCATTCTTCTTTTCCGCGTGGAATTCGATCGCTCTCGATCAGATTCGATTAGATCTCCTCGGCGAGGAAAGTCGAAGAGAGTATAATCTTGTTTCGCGATTAATGCGAAAGGAAATCGTTTACTTCGCTCTCTCTTCAGCTTCCTGCTGAAGATAAAAACCGAACCACTCTCGAATTCAAACTAAAATTTCATTTTCATGAATGATCGAGTTCTCGATTCGTTAAAACGTTTGTGTTTCGAGTATGATGTGTTTCTTCGAAGTGATTCGCCTTCTCGAACGGATCCAATTCCACGCTCGCATAGCAGACGTTCAATTAATAAGCAAGTATAGATAGAAGTGTTGATTATCTCGCCGGATGTTAAATAGCCAGATATCGGTTTAATTGCTGGAATATTCAAAGCGAGTCTTGACAGCACGTTTCGACGCTGATCGAATAAATTGAAATATGATAATACGTATTAAGGAAAAATATTATCACGAGTTAGTTTAAAGAATCGAGAAAGTTGATCTCTCGACGATATTTCGAGTTATATTGTCTCTCTCTTTATACAAAAGTTTCCGAGTGAAAAAATAATCGAGTGACGAAACGTGCTGTACTTTTTTTTTTTTTTTTGCTCTGTCGCCATGACAATCGCGTTCAATTTTGCGTCGTATGGATCATTGCTCTCTACGTTTCGACGAAAGAGCTTGTTGTAATAAAAAGCAGCGTAAAAGCGATTCTTAATTACGTAGCCGTTTCTCCGTTCGCATCGCAAACGTCCATTTCTTCTTCGATATGGCTGCCATTATTGCCATTGTCAATTTGATCGAAATTTGATCATGCAAATTTATAAGTCTCTCTTGGAAAGTATTTCTTTACGATTCCCGCGTTGCTTGGAATTGCAAAAAAATCTAAGAATGTAAAACACGATGATGCAAAAAAAAAAAAAAAAAAAAAAATATCCGAAGCAATGTTAAAAAACGTCGAAACGACAAATGTTGGCGTTGAAATATCGCGTAGATATTTTTACATGAACACTCGCAGCCTGGAAACCAACAACCGTCCAAGAGATTTACGAGCACGATGAAATTCCTCCAAGTATGAAGAATCAGCATTCTTATTCGATCGATTTTCGATATTCGTGCTCGAAGCGAGCACGATTTTTTAAACGTGCGCGTAACAGAATTGTTGAAATAAAAATTTATTTTTGAAACGAGGAAAGGATATTTCACTCGTTGAAAAAAAAAAAAAAAAAAAAAAGAAAGAAAAATCGACGTTTCGAAACGAATAATAAAAAAAGCGAGCGAAGTAAAAATTTTAATCTTCGACAATGGTGGATCATGCGTGTTAGAATTTTTCATGGCGCACGATTTGACGCGCGTCTCTTTATTTTTTTTCTTTCTTTTTGTGCAAAAGCGTGCCTTGAACATCTCGTCATCCTCCCCTTTGTTTCGTGTCATGCCCCCATGGCAGTCACAACAAGCAGTCTTCGAATCTCGCTTTCACACGAGCGCGATTGTGACTCGAGCCGAGAAGCCCCGTTAATATTCATTTTTTTTTTCTTTTCTTTTTCTTTTCTTTCTTCCTTTCTATTGTATTGAGCAACGCATATATATATATATATTTATATAATTTAACGTGTACTAATCTCGCTGGGATAGCAGCTTGTGCTCGAAGCATGTTTAACGATCGAAGAAACGTACACGTCGGTAATATTCTAAATTTAAAATGCCTCGTTTGAAAAGCAACGTTTCTTCGTCTCAAAATACGAAACGTCGTTGGATACAAATTGAAGTGTGCTTTTTTTTTTTTTTCCTGTAAGAAATTATCGCGCTTCGATCCGCTTATCATCTAAGGTAAATTCTTAGTTAAATCAGGAAGCCAGTCGATTGGCCCTGTAGCACCGATAGTACGATAGACTTTACTCATTCCCTTCGTTCCCTCGTTCATTTAACGAAAATTACATTTATTTTGCGTTCGTGTTTCGCCGCATTTTCGAGAAATGAACGAGATACCGGAGTTGAAAAGTTTTTGAAAAGTTTCCAACTTTCTTCTTCGAACATTATTCATGTTTATTATTGCATTTTTGCAAATCGGAATTATTTTGCAAATCGGATTAATCCATTGAAATGCAACGTGACTTCGAACTTTCTTCTTCGAACAGATTTTCCTTTATATCGCGTTTTTTTTTTTCTTTTTTTAATCGAAACGGAATCAATCCATTGAAATGCAACGTAAACCCATTCAAAATTAATAAGATCGATTTCGATTTTATCGGCAAGAAATTTTCAAAGATCAAAAAATCAATTTCTTCAAAAATAAAAATCTCCAACGATCAAAACTCACGAGATTAAAAAAAAAAAAAAAAAAAAAAAAAAAAAAAAAAAAAAAAAAAACGAAACGAGACTTTGGAAAAATCGAAACGAGATAAAAAAAAAGAAAAATCTCCTGCTCGAAGAAGGAAGTGGAGGGGGAGGGGGGCGAGACGTGTACGTTTCGTTGGGGCAGGCGAGGGTTCTTCCTAGAAAAGTAGAAAGGAAACCCGGGTGCGGCGAGCGTCCCCCTTGGCCCGTCGGGCCATCCCAAACTGTCAGACGGACGGGTCGCTGCCGGGGGCGGAGCCCGTCTTGCTGCCGTCGACACCAGCACCGCCACCGTCGCCGTCGGCGCCTGCACCCTCTCCGCCCCTGTACGGCGAGCCGCCGGCCCCACGCGCCGACAGACCTCGGAAATCCAGGTTGTACTGGAAAAGATCAGGCCCCCGAGATTAAAGAGTGCTCATCGATGCGATCGATGCTTCTTTCGAAGGGGAAGGGGTGAAAGAAAGAAATTTGGAATAAAGTTACTTTTTCGGCGTACGATGCAATCCGATTGAAAATGAATTATCGAAGCAACTTTATTCTTAATTTCTTTGATCGATTATTGAATATCAATTTTGGCAATCATTTTGAATTGAGCGAGGAGTTAAGGGGATCGATGCGTTGGACGAGAAGTATTTGGATTATTTTTCAGATATTCGATGTTCGAATTTTGTTTCGATTCGCGTGTTGATTTTTTTTTTTTTTTTTTGGTACAGTTTTGACAGAAATTGAGTTTCAAGAAGATAGAATTGATAAATTATACGAGTAAAATAATCACGATGTACGAATCGTGAAATTCGAACGATCATAATTTCAAAATTATCGAAAGTTTCGAAATAAAATTGGTACCGTTCGAAAGTGCGATCCTTGCTCTTCGATACTTTTTTCGATTTATATCGATATCTCTTTTCGTACCCGAAATATCGCTGTTTGAAGCGAAACGTAATTTTCGATACGTTTATCTCGCTGTCCTTGTCTCGGATCTTTCATTCAACCCCATTCATTGACCCGTCCCAACTTTGTCACTAGCTAGTGTTTTTTTTCTTCTTTTACTATCGCTCGTACGCAATTCTAGGAAAAAATGTGGGGCACGCGATTCTATTTTACTTTTTTAAGTTTTCTATTAAACTTTGAAGTTTTGTATCTTGAGAATAGATTGAGATATCGATGTGAAATAAAAAGTATCGTAAAGTGCGCGCATTCCTCTATCCCCTGAGTCGATTATTCTCTTAAAAAAAATTATAATAATTTCTATTTAAATTTGATTGACAAAATATTTTCGTCCAACGTATCGATAATCTGTTCAATAATTAATTTAAATTATTTTTCAATTGAAAAAACGAATTAGTTGGTTGTCGTAATTGTTAATGAAACACTTATCATGAAGGGATGAGAATTGTTGTACTTGGTCGTACAAAAATTTTTGAACTCGAGGGGAAAAGAAAAAATCCAAACATCAGATAAATCGTCATTCTAAAATTATTAAAAATTATTTTAGTATCGCATCGAGGAATAAGCGTTATTAAATATTTTGCTGTTTTCCACAAATTAGAAAGTTATTTGAGATTAATTGAAAAAAATAGAAAGAAACGAATAATAAATTATCCGTTTCGAAATATTGCTCATTCCTGTAAAGATAGCTGTAAAAAAAAAAAAAAAAAAAAAAAAAGAAAAAAACAGTAAACCAGATTGATTAAACCAGTTTCCTCTTCGTGCCCTGGATTACGTTGAACATTGTCAAGATGTACCTTGTTAATAAAGCTCGTTCATACTCGACTCGTGGAAAAAAATGTCTGCAAAAGTGTGATAAGAAAAAGAAGAAGAAAAAAGAAAGAAAAAAAAACTCTTTAGCCAACTTATTAGAGCGGTAAAACAAAGCCTACGCGTAAAATATGCATCGTGTGAAATAGAAAAAAAAGGAAAAATATTCCAAGACGATCGATCAAATCAAATGGATCTCAGAAAATTTAATTCTCAACGATATTTATAATTTTCAATATAATATTTACAATCGATAATTGGATCTTTGAAAAAGATGAATGAAAAGTAAGAGATTTAAAGTTGAAATTGAAATGGAAGGATTCGTTACTTGGAATTTTTTTATATGAATAATAAATTTAAATAAATAGTGAATATTTTTGAAATATCGAGAAAAAATACGAAATCTATATCGTAATAAAACGCGTCCCCCTTCCACCCCCTGCAATCTCGAACCCTCGAATCCTTCGAAACATTTTCAAACTTCACACAATTTCAATCGTCTCGATTTCGCTAAAAATCCAAAGAGACCAGAAAATTCGATCGATCGTGATCAAGGATCAAGAGCGAAGAAGCAGAAAAAAATATAAAAGCGAAGAGAACAAGAAACGAGAGAGAACAAAACGAAAAAAAAAAGGGATTGGGAGAAGGAAAGAGAGAGAGAGAGAGAGAGAGAAAGAAAAAAAAAGTAAAACGAAAGTCGAACCTGTGCAACGTAAAGAGGCAACGCTTCGCGTCGTGGCTTCGCGTGAAGAGCACACGTTGGCGGTGCAACGAAAGTCTGTGTTATCTCGGCAGAGTGGCGTGTCTTAGGTGCTGCAGCTGTGCCTGTTGCAGCTGCAGCTGCAACAATTGTAGATTCTGCAGGCAATAGGGAGCCTGCGGCCCGCAACTGGGTGTGGACGTGATCGGTGACGAGTATGGAAGGACGGAAGGATGGACGAAGGACGTCGTGTTCCTCGTCGCCGTTGTGGAAGTTGTGTTGTTTGCCAACGTGTTGTTGTAATTGAACAATTGGGAAAAGTTGAGGTTTGGACCTCTCAGAATGTTGTGCAATTGGGCGGATGTGAGGGGATGGGGTTGCACGTAGGGACTGGTGGACGGTAGCAATTGGGGGCTAACCGGGTACAAGCAATCCTCTTCGGCTAGGCCAGGCACCGTTGGGCTCAGCTCCACGTACTGCGGCATCGTGACATTGTGCTATTCGACGGGTGCATGGAAGGATATATGTAGAACACTTGACGACTCTATGCGCGCCTCTGCTCACTCTCCCCGAATATTTCCCTCTTATAGAAATATTATAGAAATTATAGAAATTATAGAAATTATAGAAATAAACTCGAAATTTTTTCTCGATGGGATCGTTGCTTTCTTGAGATATATTTCGTATGTTCGAGATTTCGAATAGAAAATTTTCGTGATTATAAAAATTGAGAGATGATTTCGATTATGAGATTTTTTTTTTTTTAAATAGCTATCGAATTGTTAAATAATTTATACGGGAAATATTGGCGGAGAGAGAGAAACGATCTTTCGTTACTTAATAATATAACATACGTGATTACTTAAATTTGCTTAAAAATTGAGACGTATCATCTACTATAACAAAGCTAGCTACGATAAAAAAAATACCTCCTCCGTTCGATCAGCTTTAACTTTCGAACAAAGAAAAATATTTAATTAACTCTTCCCGCATCGTCGTTGTTGAATCTATTTTTTTAAAAAAGGTAGCAAAACAACAAAAGAATGAACGATTCTGCTTTTCGAGCAAGAAAAAGAAAAATAAAAAAAGAAAGAAAGAAAGGAAAAAATACGTAAAAAGTGAAAAATTCTAAACAAAAAGCAAAATCGTGAAATTGAAACAAAATATTGGGTGTGACATCGACGTTTTTTCCCCGTGTTGTGTGGATTAAAAGGAAAAACGTATGATGAACGTATCTTACCTTTGTAGCGCAGACGAAACACGTGGTGACCACTTTCGAAATCACGTTCATTAAATTTTTAGTCTCTTGTATCACGTTGTCGACTTTTGTAAAAGTGGCCGCCTTCCCGACCGTGGGGTTTTTCACGGTGAATTGAAGCTGTTGGACGTACGTTGGCACACGATCCAGATTTTCCAAAAGTTCTTTCTTGTGCGGGCCACCTGGTACCTGTACCCATACAACATCGTATACAAACTTACGTCTTTAACCGTGTCGCAAGGCAAACGTGCTCGTGAATTATTTTTCAACGATTTTCAAACGTTGCTTAAAAATATTTTGGATAAGAATGTATAAAAATCTCTTCGTTATCTATTTCTATTTTTTTTTTTTTTGGATTATTTTATAACGTTATTACTTGCAAATATACGTAAGTTTATATCGAGATATATTTTCGAAAATTTAAAAGTAGAAGAAAAATTTATCTTTCGTTTAATCGTATAAAATTATATTGGATATTGCATCGTCAAAGTTGTTGTTGTTGTTGTTGTTGGTGATGGTAAATTAAATTTTCTTCGTTTTTCTTCGAGTAATTAATCGAATTGGATGATCTTTTTAATTGAAGGATTCGAATCGATGAATTTTTTTTTTTATATATATTTGTACATAGTTTGTTCCTGATATGAAAGAATCGTTGAAGAATACCAATCACATTTGCCCTGCGATATGCAATGTTTTACATACGTAGCGTATTCGAATAACTCTTTAAAGCAATGCCTGATTCTATTATTTTATTGATCGACTAGTAAGAAAGTACTTTGAAATACGTATGTATATATATATATATATATATATATATCTTGGATACTTATAAAAAATTGCATCTAATAAATTAAGAAAAAAAAAAAAGTATATCTTCTATCCGTCCTAATGAAACACAATGCAAGAAGTTTGAAAAGAAAGTGTTAGTTGTTCGAGAATATTAGAGAGTGACTGTGTGAATGACAGTGAATTAGTACAGACCTTGCTGTTTTTGCTAGCTTTTCGCTTCACTATTAATTTCAAACTTAGGCATAAAATTCAGGTGACACGTTTTTCTCAAACAATTGCAGCTAAAATGAATCTTTGAAGCTTAAATTTTTTTTTAAGCTTTTTATTTCAAAACACTTGAAACATTCGTTTGTTTTAGAATTTTTATTAACCAGTATTTAAATTAAAAGAAATTTATAAGCATAACAACTAACTTTCTATTTTTTTTTTTTTTTTTTTTTTTTTAGAATTAAATATTACGTTTGAGAAATTTAAAATATATTCATTTCCTTATGGATATTGAAGAGATAGGATAAAATTTCATTTTAGCTGATTTTCCGAACGATAAATAAAGAAAAATAAGAATAGTGAAATTTGAAGAAGCTTGCAAAAACTGAGACATTAATAGTCATGCCCCAGATAGTGGAAGGAGGGGGACCACAATGCACATAGACGTCGTCCACAGACGGAAGCATTCCCGTAGCATCTAAAACACACCTTACTAATCGTACACAAAAAAGTCGTAAATGTACGTACACAAAATAGATTTTACCAACAAAATAATGATCATAGTTGATTTAGTGGTGTGGAAGGTGAATAGAATAGAATATATGTCTAAAAAAAAAAAAAACAGTAGTATCAAAAAATGACAGTAGTATCTTCCTGTAAAACTTATATGACTAACGTAATTAAAAAAATAATTTTGGCTACTTTATCGGATTATTATAAATTCTTACATAAGCTTTTTTAATTAATTTCAAACGTGATTTATTACACTATATATACATATCTTTTAAATATCGAAATATCTTTTTTTCTTTTTTTAATTAATTCATTCTTCATCATTTCAAATTTCTATCATAATGAAACTTAATACAACAAGAATAACGTAAACATTTTTGATGATCGATCGTTCAAGTATCTCGCTATAGAAATGATTATTTTTCAATTAGCCAACGAATACTGTTCATACATGGAATCGACTGATTGCTTAGTGATAATAATTTACTTTTTACTGCCATATTAGTCAGTATGAGAAATGGAAAACGTCGCTCTTGGTGAAACGTGCTCTCTTCATTAGAAGAAGGAAATAAAAGAAAGAAGTATATGTACAATTAACACTACGCCATTCAAAGTAACGACTGTTTGGGATGAATCATACAATAAGTGTTCAAACGATCTTGCATAGCAACATTAATTAATTAGTTTGCATATGTGGTTAAGTAGTAATAAGTACAAGAAGAGATATATGTAGAGTGATGTAGTATATATATATATATAAAAAAGAGAAATGAACAACATTTAACAGCAACTGGTTAAAAAATGATTTTCGCAAGAGCGGTATATATATATATCAATGCAATGAGAGAACGATCTGTACAAGGCGAATCTCTATTAGCCCAACGAGGGTCTAAAGTAAAGAGAGAAAGAGTTACCTGGATGGAGGCATTCAAAGAGCGAGGGTCAAAAAAAGGGTATCATAATACAAGAATATATTACAAGGTTAGCGTCTCTTTTTTTTTTTTTTTTTTTTTTTTTTTTTTTTTCATTTCTTTTAAGAAGAGTATAGAAAGATCAAAATGGTTTCGGGTAAAACTATGTATATTCGGCCTAGCTAGGAGGGTCGAAAGGGCAGCAAACGTGTTAATTCGAACATGTCTAATGCTAATAATTCGCGCCCGAGCTACTTCCAATCCATTTGGAAACGTTACACTTCCATTGTTCTTCCACCAATTAAATTTAATCACGTCTTTCGCGTTGAAAAAACCGATCGAATGAAAAAGAAAGAAAGAAAGAAAGAAAGAAAGAAAAAAGAAAGAAAGAAAGGAAGGAAGGAAGGAAGAAAGAAAGGGAAAAGAAAAACTATCGATCCAAAGATAGAAGAAGACACGACGTACGTCCGAATTTTCCAAAGAGTGAGAAATTTCAAGGATTCAAAGTAGCTCTAGCGTGGCAATTACGTCAAAACGAAACTCAATTAGCGAAATTGAAGGAAAAATATCTCGAATATAGCAAGGATCAAAAAATTCGGAATCAAGTCCAGTATAGAATCCGTAATAATAATAATAATAATAATAATAGTAATAATAATAATAATAATAATAATAATAATAATAATAATAATAATAAATAATGGGTAAGAGAGTATGATCATAAAAGTAAGGATGATGTAACGTATATACGCGTAACGTGTAATAATGGATTGTTGTTTACACGTTACACAGCGTATATACCGTAGGCATCTGAACATCAGTCCAATTAAAGAAAATGTGTATATATTTCAGTTTTAGCTCTGAAATTATCTACGTTGCCTCGGCAACTGATACATACCTGATAGCTGAATTGTCTCACAACCTTGTACAATCTGTTCGCCTCCTCGGCGAAATACTCAGCTTGGGTGAACAGATCTTGGGTTGTCTTCAACGCCCCTTCGCCCCTTGTGAACTGGTACATGGAGAACGCCATCGAGGACATGTTCTTGGCGCGTTTCACTATGTCGTTGTTCTCCTCGAGGGCGCTGCCGCTCTCCTGCCACTTCTCCGTTTCCGCGTCCATCTCGGATGTGATCAGCTTCATCTCGAGGCCGGCCTTCGCGATCTTCGCCTGCTCCTCGCTGTCCAATTTCACCGGTTTCAACGGCTTGCTCGTTGTTCCGTGTTTCTGGAATAACATCGAATCGGTGTAAACGCGCACGTTCAATTATTTAATAATTCAATTGATCGTTTAATTAGTGTTTATCTATCAGATGATTATCAGTCAGATTAAATCTGGTATATTTATAAAAATGTTAATTTTTTGAAAAATCGATTGACACTTACTCCAGGCCGTGGCAATGACATGTAAACTTGTTTCTCCGGTCGATTTTGGTTCAATTCCAACACGTCTTTCGCCACTGTGGTCACATCGGTCATGAGCCATTGCCACATATCAGCGAATACTGGAACGAGTACAGGATTCGATATTTTATATTTTAAAGAGAGAGTAACAAGTTAGGTTCGAAGAGATCTATGCGGAGGATTATAATATCCGTTAATAATTATTTACCTTCCAGGTTTTCCTTGGCGATTTTACTCGTAGGATGTCTCGCCAAAGTGTACGCCGCTGTCACCACTTGAGGGCCGTATATTCTCAAGTTAATTTCGGTGAACTTCGCTGAAACTTGCAATGATTCCGAGAGCGCGACGTGTCTCAGCATTTTGCACACCTATTAATCGATACGTGAATGGTCAAATTATTAAATATCGTTTAAAAAAAAAAAAAAAAGAAGAATTCCCAGAGAAACAAAAATCTTTCGTAATTATATTATATCGAAAATAATTTTTAAATTTAAAAAAAGAGAAAAGATAATTTAAAATTAACTTGTTAATGTTATATTTACATTCAAAAAGATTTAATTGCGGATACACTCACCTCGAGAATGTGTTCAATGTATTCGCGAAATTTCTCGTTGCTCTCTTGAAGAAGATATCTGTCATTGGCCAAAGCGACGTTCCTGATCGTTGACACAAGTTCCTGACCCGCTTTAGTTACCTGTCCAAGATCAGCCGCTTGTTCCATTGTGGTCGTGCACAGCTGCTGGCGAAGATCCCTGGTGGTACGTAACACTCCCAGAACGGCTTGCTCCATTTCAGAACTCGGAGAGCCACCACCGCCTTCGTAATTCTAACACGTAATATTAATCGTTTCATTATTCGCCTCGATATTCTCTTGACGAGCAGGTATATTTTCATTATTTAAACAAACAGATATTTTATACATTTATATATATGTATGTATATTTTTTACTTAATGTAAAAACGTACAAAAAGATTTTACCATTGACTAAATTTTCTAAATTTTATTTATATACAAAATTCTTTGTACCTTCACGTGCATTCTATAAATCAATAGATTTCTTAATTAATCTGCTCGTCTCTCAACACAAGTTCATAAAGTGGCAAAGCGATTCAAAGAGAAGAGAGGGGAAAAAAAAAAAAATATTCTTACCATACTGTTACCAATTCGCAGGAGGGTGTTGAGTTCGAGTTGCGCCCGATCGCAAAGCAGAAGTATATTCTCTCTGTGCTCGTGGCTCGTGTATGCGCTGTCAGTGAAATCCTGCGTTCTCTCGATGACGGTGTCTAACGCGGCGGTGAGGGTCTCTCGACAACCCGGTCCTAGGAGAGTCATTCTCGTGGTTTCGACCAACCTCTCGAAGTGTTTCAACGCGGAGAACGCCGTGCTGCTGTCCCAATCCTCCTGCTGTGGACTCTGAAAATTAATAACCAGAGATCAGCCCAGATATTCACCCTCCAAGATGGTGGCCAGATTCACGAACAAACCTAATCTTCCAAATATTTAATTTCCCTCTGCACGAGGATAATGAGATTTTTGATTTATGATCCTTCTGATGCGTCATTATATTTTCACCTCACCTTCTATTACATTAATTTTCCTTAAGTTTTTATTTAAAAATATCACGCTTGTTTCGATTACTCGTTGTGATTTTATTATTATATATAATTTATATTTATTTTCTATTCATATTCGTTCGCAAATTGTTTTTAGAAAAAATGTTTTAAAAAAAGAGGAGGAAGAAGAAGAAGAAGAAGAGGATCGTTTCAAGCTTGATCATGCACGTGATAAACAATCTCTGTGTTTACAGGGAGCTATCGAGATACCACGTGGAGCTTTAATGGCACGCCATAACTAAATATAGAGGCTTGGCCTAAGGTCAGCATAGATACCGATCCCATTTAACCAAGGGTGCATTCAGGTATGCAATATGGCGTCGATTAACTATGCATTCTTCTAGTTAGTAATTATTCGCACGGGATCCTTGAACGTGACCGAGCACCTCGATCCATATTTCCTTTCAAACCTCCTCGATTATCGGTCAATCTGCACGTTATAAATTTTTCATTGGTAGTTTAAGGCTTTATCGAACTTCCAATCGAACTTCATTGTATAACGTGCTTCGTTCGAGGGAAAAGTACTTGTCGAAGTACGTCGAGGGAATATAATTGTTACGAAATAAAGTATTTTGGGAAATATATATATATTTTTTTTTATTTAAAAATTTATTCAAAAATTTGGATTGAAAATTGGAAAGAATCAAAAAAAGGCATTAAAATATTGAATGCTCTTTAATATTAAAATATATTCGAAGAATATTGAATTTTTTTAAATTTGTGAAATATTTGTTGAAAGAAATTAGCTTCAATAGAATCTAAAAGTTGGAAATAGATGCATCTATTCAATATTAAAAAGTTTTGATATCTGTCGATGAGAAATGCAATCCAAAAAGAAATATATAATGTATAAATTATAATATACAAACAAAATATACAGTTAATTAGTTAAACGTAATATTATATTTAATTTTTTATTACTAATTATAATAATTAAAATTATTTATTACCCTATTTGCAAAGATTGAAATAATCTTAAATACATTCATTATATTTTCTTGCAACGAAGTGCATAATAATGAATTAATGGATCAAATAAAGTTAAGAGTTGAGTTAATTTAATGCTGAAGGGAGGAGCAAATAAATTTCTATTGTCAAATTAATTGTTGGAATGGCGGGAAGATTTGGCCGGTATCCCGTGTGCAATTGGCAAGAAATTGAAATTATATCGACGCATTAATGCGCCAGCTGCAATTTGGCACGTGGCGAAGAATGCACCGCAACGTTTATGACATCCATTTCGGCGTCGCTTGCTATGCACCTATCCTTAATCGTGGTACGATATCAATTCGCATTTCTGTCAATACATCCCATCGATTCCATTGTGCTGGAGATATTTCTTAAATTTTGAAAATGCACCCACTTGGAAGAGCAAACCCCTCCCCTGTCGATTTAGATGGCGTCGAAACGTCGTGTCAACTCGTGAAATGGAATAATACAAAATATATTTCAAATATATAGCACGCGCTTCTCTTATGGCGAACTACTTTTTTGTTTTTGATATTGCAAAAGTATTTTCAAAATTATCGTTGATAATTTCGTTATATTTTTTTTCTCGACATATTATTATTATTATTAAGAATGTTACGCGGAATGTTATTGAAATTTTGTTGCAAAATTCTTTATTGTGCTATCTTTTTGATATTAAATAGATAGTTACTTGGATTTTTTTTTATTGTAAGTATATATTCTCGATATTTTTAATAGTAAATTTTCTATATATTATGTAAAATGTATTTTTTTACGGATTTTTGTCCAGTCTTTTGAGATTAAAATAGAAGGATGATATTTATCAAGTGCTTTTTTGTTTTCAGTAATATTGAACGTAATAAGAACTTCGTAATTAATCATCGGAGCAAGGAACTGCGACTGACACACATAATTTGAGGTCAACGGTATACCACCACCCATCCTCAATTTTCACGAAATTGATTAGATAGGATTTTCACCTCGGAACTTAATAATGGACAGTTTGTTGCCTCGAAAAAACTTTATATAAAGTTGCAGTAAAAAAGGCAAGTATAATTAAATAATTTAAAGTGTAATTTACATATTTATAATTTTTATAGTTTCATTATTTTTTTTTAAAGTTATTTTACAATAATCTCGTGCCAGTAATTATATAAAGAATTAATATTTTCATTGATAATTTCTTTAGAAATTTTGAATCGAAGTTTTGATAATGTTTCTTACATGTCTGATCATTTATTGATCTATTCTACTTAAACAAGTCAAGAAAAATTTACGTATGCAAAAATTATTATATTTTTTCCTCCACAATTTTGGAAAAGAGAGCTTCGTTGTTCCATCTATTTTTTTTTTTGTCTCGAAAAATCAAGGTCACGAAAAATTTGACTCGATCGTACGTTATGGGTTAAACGTGGAAAAAAAGAATTTGGCAAATGAAAGCTGTTTGGATTCGATCCAGCATCTCGAATATGTATTTCATCGTAAATGTTTTCTTTTTACTTCCTACATTGTTTCTGTATGTATTCTGAAATATATTCTCGTTCATAACCAAAGTATAGTATTCATCGTTTCGTAGCGTTGAAAATTTCATGAATGTATAATCACGTTGCAACAACAAATTCTTGTTGTTGGAATTGTGTTTGCATCTAACGTGTGTAACAGATGATGTACATATTTTACTTTTCTACAGAAATATGCAACGGAAACTTAGATCTAAAATCTAAAATTTTGATCACGTTATTTTATTACAATTTTTACATTTACGATCTCTTCTTTTTTTCGTATTTGCCTCTCTCAAAGGTCGATCCAAAAACTAAAATTTTACTAGTCCTTTTTTCCGATTTTAAATAACACTATAAATTTTAGTATTTTTTTAAACATTTCTTTAGTTCCTATATCAAGAAGATTTTTCGTTATCTATATCATATCGTAAAATTTTTCATATTCAGATATTCTTTTCACTCGAAATTTAAAATAATAGCGTATTTTAATATACATCAAAACGTGTATAATTAATTATTTATAGAAATTATAAACTATTCTTATGCAAATATAAGAATAGTAATATAATTAACAAATCTTCGGTTTGCTAATACAATTCAATTCATTGTAGTTTCATTTACTTATTATCTTCTTAATCTATTCCAATTTTATTTAACGTTTGATCCAATTATTTTAGAATAATTTGTATCCATCTCAGAATATTTCCAACCATTTACCTGGGAATTGGAGTAAGACTGGGACTCGCTGCAATCGAGGACACCGTCTTTGACCACGTAATGTATCAAGTCCATGGCCCTTCGCATCTGGCAGAAAACGGTGTCTCTGTTCTCTCTGGCAGACGGACACTCCGGATGCCTAAGGCAGGTTTTGCTGGACGTGAGCAGCATCATGGTACTCCTCTCCAAAACTTGGCGAGCCGCTGCCATCTGCGCCCTTCGCCTCTCGTCTTTCAAGTCATTCTGAAATTTCCAAACGTTCCCTCCATTCATTCCTGGCCCACGTGTTGCTATTTGCCCGTTGCATTCGTCACATCGTAATCGTAATTCCGATGATTACTAAGGGAAATCGAACCGAGGTCAATCACCTCTTGATGGCGATGTATATTAAGATGGATAAACTATTTATACTATAGTTTAATAGATCGATCGATATCTTAATTGTCATTAACAATTTTCCAACTGATTTGTCTATAAATGTGTTATTAATTGGTTTGAAATTTTGTAGAATTCGTGAAAGCCTATGACAAAATGAAGAAAATGAAGAAAGGAGGAGAAAGGTAACGCCAAGTTCATCAAAATAAAGTTTCAATTGGAATCACAATTATTCTATCTCGTAATTCTTACAATTGTATTATAATATTGCGTTACATTTCTAGTTTTAAAGTATCTAGTATTTGAATAATATCGGGCAGTTCTTGTTTTAGCACAGAGTTTCAAATTTTATCTCTGAACTCGTTCAATATTGAATACTATTCTTTTTTAATCGCGTCTTCTTCACGGAAAGAGCATTGATTTATCTCTATTTAGATCGTTCTATTAGCAATAGGATACGGCTGGGGGAACGTAGAAAGCCGTGCAAAATAGAATGGTAACGTATGAACTCGGAATACTAATTACAAAGCTGTCAAGAGCCATGATTCACGTTAAATGAGTCGAATAAGGATTAATGTAGATGCTTGAATCAATCTCTGTCTCGTGCTCGATTGTGTTTCCGATTTCATCATGACTGGACTAATATAAACGCATTAATATTATTCTCGAGATCGATGCGTGGCTCAAATTGTGAATACAAAAAAAAAAAAAAAAGAATCAATTCTAATATTTTAAATATAAATATAAAAATAATATATTCAACAATATTCAAAATACTTTTATTTGCGAGCATTGGATGGATCTTTTAATACGTAAGTTAACTTTTTTCTTAACAAGTAGTTTCTTCCTAGTTCACTGGATATTTCTAATCAGATTTAACTCTTTTATTATATTTCTTTGGAATAATAAATAAATTCCTTTTCGTGTAATAAGAATTGATGTAAATCGAATATATATATAAAATATTAAAATATAAAAATTAATTTGAGATTGATTTCAAGTAGAAAATCTGGTTTGGATCGAAACGAAACAAAGATAAAAATTGGAAGGAAACGGAATCACTTACTTGGCGATCACCCGTCAAATGGGCCAATTCCACCATTTCCGCCCCGAACTGGCTGAAAGCCTTGACGAATTCGGTGAAGTTGGAAACGCTCTCGAGGCGGCCGAGGCTACGGGCAACCTTCTTCTTCGCGAGGAGAAGCTGCTTCACCACAACGATGTCGGCCAGAAGGAGGACCTTGGTCACGGAGCCGAGGAGGCATCTCGCAGCCCTCACGACGGAGCCTCGGTCAGCTAGGCTGTCCTCCGTCGCGCACTCGCATAATTTTTCGATCGCCGAGCCTGCAACAACATTATTTTCCACCATCGTTCAACCATCTTTGTTTCCTCCTCCCTCTTCGCTCTGCGATTTCCATGGTATGAAATGAGAGGTATGTAAGATTCGTGGTACGATCTAGAAAAGATCGTGAAACGATATGGTGGCGATAATTTCAATTTTGTCGGTGTGGGCGAAAATTTTCGAATTTATTTCGTGGATGGAAAGGTGTGTGGTGTAAAGTCAGAAGGATTAACACCCGGATATTATATGCGGACTCGTTGTATGCAAATCGATGTCTAGTGCACACGCACACGTTCTGATCCCTTTGGCCAATAGCATCTCGCCGCCAATATCATCGGCAATCGGCAATTTCCTTTCATCCCACGCATATGAATATTTATCATCTTGTGGAACGCGTTCAACGCGAAGAAGAATATTGATTACATTTTTCTTGCCTCCTCCCCCCTCCGCTTTTCACTTTTTAAAGAACATCGTCGTTTTCTCTAATTAAAAAGTGAATTGAATTCTTTAATTCTTTGAATTTTTCTTTCTTTCTTTCTCTGTTCATTTCGTTCATTACGTTCATTTCGTCGCGTTATACATGTTTTGATACATGTTGAATTTAATATATATAAATTATTGAATCGTTCTTTGGAATTCGATATTTACAATCGCTTGTTTTGATTCGAATAAAAATGATAATTAAAACGAATGCTTGTAAAATATTTTATAAACATGCGTAGAAGAATAAAAAGTGCGCAAGTTGGTTTTTTTTTTTCGAAACTTAATAAACTCGGATAACGGTTGATAAATATTGCATGAGGGAGCGTTGTGTAGCAAAATGTATATAACGGTATATTGGTACACGTTTTTGAGCTATATATATGTGTGTATCTAGATGGATATTTTAACTTCTATTTTTTAGCATTCCATAATATACACGGGATAGAGTAAAGTGGATACACAGGTGTTCCACCATAATGGCATGTCTGTTTCGTGCTTATAAACAGTTTCCACTATATAACTATATAAAACTCCGTTCTTCCTTATTGTTATTATTCCTTTTTGTTAATTTGTTTCTGTTACGATTTATCAAATGAGATTTCTTTGGAAGAAATTTTTCTTCGAAACTTTGTAGATTATCCTTCAGTTGTTTCAATATTTTTTATCAGGAAACCGTAGAGATCTTTTTTAAATTGAAAGAAAATCGATATCCTCAAATCATCCACCCTTAATTCTTTATCGAATTTTTACAGTCAAAACTTTACAGTATACATTAGATTAAAGATGTATACGTTAGATAATTTTTTTATTATTGAAAAAATTAAACGTTGGTGATTTTGATATTTTATTTTTTTAAATAAAGTTTATATAAATTATAATTTAGAAAGTTCGATATTTTCAAGAATAATTCAATAATTCACACTCTGTTGCAACTTCCTTTAAATTCTCCTAAAAAGTTTTTCTATCAAAAAATTTGTATTAATTTCTATCGATATTTCCAAATTATTGCAAAAATTAATAAAATTTATACACGTTAATTCACGAATATATAAAAATCAGAAGTTCGATTCGCTTTAATCGAAATCTGTGTGAACGTGTTTCTATCGTGTAACCTTTCTCTTTAAACCTGCGCATTTATGAATACACAAATCGATCAATCGCACAATTTCACCAGCTATAAAATTTATAAACGTCTTTTTAATCATCCGTCAAACACGGTTTTTTTGTCACGTTTATCATACTATTTTTTTGTTTCCTTTTTGTGACTTAATTTTTCCCCTTATGAGATTTTTTTCGATATTCTCTTTCCTTCCGCGCTTTTTAATTAATCGTAAAAATACTGGATAGCAAATTTATGATCGTTAAATTGTTTTGCTTCGATATCAACTTATTTCGGATCGCGAAAATCGTAATTTTCCTTTTTCTCCTTTCTGAAGCAAAGGTTTAGGGAAAATTCTTCATTTCGAGATTAAAGTTTTATTATTTTTTTTGGGTTATATTTTAGGTTTTTAGGTTATATATTCAACGAATTCGGATTTGTTATATTCAAGTTTTGGCTATAAATAAAATTTATTCCTATAGGAGAACAGAATGTCGTAAATTCTTTGATTTTTATCTTCGATATAACCTCGATTTAGAAAGACGAGAAATTTTTAGATCCAAAATTTATGTATGTTTTCGAACGAATTCTTTTATTTTCGAATTTTTATAGATATAGATTTTACTTCAAGGTAAAAAACAAAGCTTAGAACATAGAATTCGAAAGAAAAAAAAATTCATATTCTTCATAAATCTTCAAAGAGTCGACATGTAAATATATTTGTAATCAGTTTATAACTTTTCATATTTTTGAATTTTAAAAATCTTGAACAAAAATTTGAAATATCATTATTATATTTCAGAGCGTATCAACGCGTATAAATATATATTTATAGTACATACAACTTTCTCGTGAATATTCTCTTTGATGATTACTATACTCTAAATCATAAACCCTCTAAAACTTCTCCTACGAACTCGTTCCACTTTTGGCGAATAATTCGTCGAATAATATTTAATTCCACTTTATTATTCACAATTCTCTCAACCAAAATATTTTCTTTTAATAAATAAAATTCAGATCTCTTGTCGCGTTCGGCAAGATAAATTCGTGAAAAGAAATTTGTATCAACAATTGTTGAAAGAATTTTAACACTTTTATCATTTTGCCTTAAAATGTTGGAGAACGTTATATACGAGCTCGTCTCGGTTCTATTACTTATTGGAAAGTTTCACGTGGACGTACAAGTTCAGAAGTTGATACTCCCGTAAATTTTCACGCCTAGTCAATGCCGACAAAAATAAAGTTTCAAGATGTGTGCTGGTTCATTGCTGAAGGGAACAGGAAGTCATCCACCACGGCGCGGCAAAACTTTTATGAAAGGGGGGAGGGGGAGGAAGGTATAAAATTTATAATAGAATTTCCCCCCTTATTACGGTGGTCACTTATTTTCATTAACATCCATATTACAGCTCACATAGTTTATAATATTAATTTCGCGACTCTAACTTTATCCTTTCTTTCAACAATATATTACCTTAATTTTATCTTATACTCTTAATTTCCTTATATAATTTTAAAATTCTTCCAACAATTGTTGATACAAATTTTTTTTCACGAAATTAATTTTGCCGAACGCGACAAGAGATCTGAATTTTATTTATTAAAAGAAAATATTTAAAAGAATTGAATGAAAGAAGATTATAATAAATGTCGAAGATGTTTAACGAAGCGTAAGTAGATAACGTTTTTGTATTCAACTATTTTACCCAACACAAGCAGCAATTAAAATATTTAAAAGAAAATATTTTGGTTGAGAGAATTGTGAATGATAAAGTGGAATAAAATATTATTCGACTTTGTATTACGTCGTCATGTAAAATATTTTTTTTTCCTCGAACTAGTCGATTAATATTCTTTCGCTTCATAAAAATTATCGTTCGATGATAAATACGAAATTTTAGAAATTAGATTCTTCAAATTATTTCTCTACGGATTTTGACAAATCGAAAAGATGATGCGTTTAAAAAGGGAGAAAATTTTTTTTTTTATCTGTTTCTGAATCAGCGATATCGCATCGATAGCCACGCGTGAAGATCTTTCGGATTATAATAAATGTCGAAGATGTTTAACGAAGCGTAAGTAGATAACGTTTTTGTATTCAACTATTTTACCCAACACAAGCAGCAAACGAAGTAGAAAGACTAGATAAGATCCTGGATACAATTAAATTATCACGTTTCCTCTTCTTTACGTCGATCGTATAGAAATCGATTTAATAATTTTGAACAATTTTTTTATATTTTTAAAATTTCTATAATAATTCTTCGTTTAATTGTTGACAAAATTTTAATATATTCGTAGAACTTTGATAGATCGATTTCTAAATAAAAACCAAATAAAGTGAAACATTTTCTATCTTTCTCACATTATACTCTTTCCCTATCCTCCATCTCGTTTTATTCAAATCCGCAAACTCAAATAAATAAGCTCGAACCCCTTATTTTTCCATTTCTCTGACCCTTACATTTGTTCTCGTCTCTAGAATCATATTGATTCTCAAAAAACGTGTTCTAAAAATGTATTTACACTATTCTACATACAGTTTCATTCGAATAATAGTAACCTAGTAGACGAGGTTCGGTGTAATGTGATCAGTTCAGCTGCCTTGATAGAGAAACCTTACGATGCTTTATGCAGATCGAGAATCAAGTACGCCATGCAATCCCCCTTGACCCAATTTAACAATCGCACAAGTGCATTGCATTGCATCCTGATTCGATAACGTGCGTACTATTTTTTTCTTTCTCTCCCTCTCTTCTGAACGCGAACAATTGTTCAACGAAAGCGAAAGCAATTCGCAACGACTCGAATCTTTCGAGTTTAAAGTGTCATCCTGTTATTCTTCGAGTATTTCGAAAACTCTCTTCTTATTTTTCTCTCTTTTATTTTCTTGATTAATTATCAGATTTAATTCGATACAATTTTATTTTTATAAAGAATCTTGTCCACTCTTTTTCGACAAATTTTTAGATGAAAGTTTCTAGATTTCTAGAAAAGAATACGAACTTCATTCCTTCTAATTAATTGATTTTTAAATAACAATACAGCGTGATATTGCACATCATTAATCTTAAACTGGTTTCAGGTACAATTAAAGGAAGTTGCAATTAATCATTATATAATGATTATGTTTGAAGACTGGGGCAATATTTTTTTTTCACGAGTGTAAGTATAATTTCATATAATTGGAGCACGATATCTCGAGCAAAGGAAAGATTAATTCGAATTATTTAACTTTTAAAGCGAGCTACTTTCCTGGACGGACACATCGGCGACAATCTCGAATGGCCGGATTAAAGGAAGAGAAGGAATAAAAATCGTAGAGAGAGAGAGAGAGAGAGAACCTCTTCGAAATACGACGCGTAATCGAGGGAGGAGAAGAGCAATCGCATCGAAGCTTAACGATAATCGAAAGCA